GTTAAAAAAAAAATGCTGCTCATTTCCAACTGCCTGCGGATGTCATTAGCAAGGTTTTGTAAAGATTTATTATATCGGTAAATCACACGTGTTCATTTGAAGCAGAGATAAGTTAGCATCCCGCTTTCTTTAGAATAATAATAACGAGAAAGAGGAAAAGTCCTGTTGACTAAACAAACAACCCTATTGAGAGAACGGTAGTGGAAACAATGCCGAGACGGATTCACTCTATACAGAAATACCAGCATTTTGGCAAACACGGGGCAAGGAAATAGCGCTCTGAAATGCAAACAAACGGAACCATGCCCAAATTGGAGAGGGGGGGAGGAATCGGGAAATTTTCGAGTTCCAACTACTTATTCGCTTCTGCAGAAAATGCATATTCAAATAGCCCTTATTCCGAAGAAATTGGTAAGGGAATGGATTTCACCGGTGCATTTGCTAACACTATTTATATCCAAGTTGAACGATAGCCTGCAACATTAAAACAGCCATTTGTTACTAAGAAGGGAGAGGATGTTTCTGAAGAAAATACGATTTCCCCCTCCCCCCCCCCCCCCCCATCACTTTGTGTTCTTTCTAACACCTAAATATGGTTTGGGGTTGTTTGGTTTTTTTGGTTGTTTTTGTTTTTTTTTTTCAGCTACCATGCAGGCGGTTTAGTTCTGCACTTCACGTTTTCAGTTCACATCAAAACTGGAATTAAACAGAGAGGTAGCGTGGAGAGTAAACCGCAGCTTAAATGAGAAAAACTTCTGTAAAGAAATAAACACTGAAACCCAATGCTCAATCATTTCCCTTAGCAGTAAGAAAAACAGCATTAAATCACCTATCCACGTGGGAAACGGATTTCTGCTTTTCCCCCCCCCCCCCCCCCCCCGCTTTTTTCCCCCTTTAAAATAGAACAGGGTTAAGGGTTTCAATATTTAAATGTTAACCATCCTTATTCGGCGAAAGTTTATGTAAACGGAGCCTCTCCTTTTGTCTAGAAAAATCAAACGCCTCTTCCCCGCTGAAAGGATCCATCCCCAAAGGATGGAGGCGGCAAACCCTCCTTTTTCCTCCCTGTTCGCCTAAGGAGAATGACACCCTTACAATATGCTTCACTAAAATAGAAAAAAAAGAAAGCCCAACCAACACAAAAAAAAAAAATATTGAGACACTTGGGGTGTTTTGGGTTTTTTCTTTTCTTTAAAAGAAAAAAAAAAAAAAATCTCTCCTCCATTCACTTTGGGATCCTGGCGAGGGTCAGTGAAGAATTACCCCACTAGTTACAGCGACAGGATCTCCTTTGAAGGAAAGCTCTTTCGACACTCCGGAGATGTTTTCAGACATTTTTTGAGGGTATGTTACTCGCCATTAAGAGTTTAATGTTAAATTGCAATTTTAGTTTGTTTTTTTTTTTAAAGAACGTTAAGTCATGAATAAATTTATTAAGAAATTCTGCTTTAAAAAAAGGGGGGGGGGGAAGGGACCCAAACCCCCCAAAAAACAAAAACCCACCAAAATTTCCTCCTTACTTACTGTCCTCAGCAATTTAGCAGACCGTCAGCCTTTCCAAAAGCTGCCTTGCCACCCAAAACTACTGTATGTTTTCACAGGATTTCTCCTGAGACGCAAGAGTTTTAGCACTGAAATGATGAAAAGCTACCTCAGCCGCTGATCACTTCACGCCCTTGACAGTTTTAATCTGCTGGAGAACTAGTAAAGTGAAATGAGGAATAGAAAGAACGACGCGAGCGTTTTAGTAGCTCAGGAGAGTTTCACCGCCATATCCAGAGAGAGCTCCCTGGAAAAACGCTGCTCGGTTTATTAAGTTTATACAGTGACACTAGTTTGTGTTTAGATTTCTGGGGGTGAGACAGAAACTTCACCGTGATTCTTCTGCACGTGATTCTCCTGGCGTTTTATCCCCAGAAAACTTTCGTTTCCAAAAAGAACCCGAAATCTCCCCACCTTCTCTCTATCTAGGAACCTTATAGATACATGACTACGCCGACAACTGCAGTCCGACGCTGCCGCCTCTACCCCAGTCCCCAGCCCTGGGTGGACGCGGCGGTGAGAAGCGCGCCTTTGCCTGTACGTGGTTATTTACAACCAGCCCCTGTGTAAGCACTCTCCGGGCAGATGGGAATTCGCTTTTGTACCGGGGAGAGAGGGAGTAAGTTACACTGGAATTGCAGCTCGCTCCTAAGGAGACCACGCTTCGCCGTCCCTACTCCTCCACGATCTCTTTAACTGTATAACACGGCATTTTGCCGGGCTCCCAAACCTTCTGAAACCTTCTGCTGCCCATCTCCAGCCGTTTGTCCAACTCATCGGCTCTGTCCTGACTCTCGTATTGCTTTTCTCCCCAGGGAAAAACAAGCAAACGTCTCCCCCTCTATTAAATTCATCCGACGTCCCTCTCCTGCCTTCTACTTTCATGAAGGCTTTTCTTTTCGGTGCCACTACCTGTCCTCCCTTCCCAGCAAAGCAGTGACTTATTTTCCTGGCTGGGGGGCACCGGGAGACCAGGACACGGCCCCCCTCCGCCGCCTCTCTTCCTCGCCTTCTTCCCCCTCCCTTGCAGCCGAGAGAGCGGAAACTGCCGGTGCAAAAGCACAGCCGCACCGGGAGCCCGAGAAGCCGCTCCTGCTCATTCCCGGAGCCCCTGCCTCCCCCCGAGGTCCCGGGAAAAACAATTGTCCTAGTGCCCTGCATGGGCAGAAACCGACGAGAGCCAGAAAACCCGCGGGGCCGCGGCGTGCTCTCCGCCTCCTACAGAAGTACGCGGAAGGGTGAAGGAGCCCGCGCGGGGCCGCGGAGAACCCGCCCAGCCCCGCGCCACTCCGCGTTCCAGCTCTCGGACCTTTGTGCCCCACCCCCTGCATAGGGATGCACGGCTCCGAGGGGACAAGTGAGGACGCGGCTGCGGTCCCGCGTCGATCTGCCGCCTGCCAGCCAGAAGCAGGGCCTGCCGCCGCGTTGCGAGCCCTTCCATGCCTGCTCGCTGCCTTTCTTTAGATTTTGCCTTTTTGAGTTTGCCTTTGACGAGGCTGCAAGGGCTCCGCCGTCCCCTCTGTCTCCGCTCTCAACATCTGCTGCAGCCGGGAGCGGCGCCGACCCCGGCGCACTTGGCTACAGGGTTCCCCAGGGCATTCAAACATCCTGCGCTGCCACTGAGGGACGGGGAGCAGCTATTCTGCTCTTCCCCTGATTACTCACAGCCTACAAGCAACACCATATGCTTCTTCTGATCAAACAACCCGCTACATAGGCACCAGTAATTGACAAGACCTGCTCGAAAATCACGCAGAAAGGTAGCCTACTGAGACCGCCGGAGCTGACAAATCACTGCTAATAATCCTTTTAGGAACAGCACGGGCATCAGAGCTTGCAATAGCTTTATTTTTATAAAGTATGCGCTGACAGTATAAAAGACAACTCGGTCTCCTTTGAAGCCGAGGGCTGTCCCGCATAATGACCCTCACGTGGTAGCAGATCACATAGGAAAGTAGCTTGACAGAGGCTTTATCACTATTTTTTAAAGTTTTCATTGTCCCCTTCTTTGGTTCTCAGTCACTAGTTTGAAGAAACTATTGCAAGATGCCCTCGATTGGAAATCACTGCTGTGGACTTAAGGTGTAAACTTTCATACCTAACGATGTATAGGGCGGGAACCTCTCCCAGCCGAATCATTGCCCCATTTAAAATGCCTACATTTTAAAAAGTAGAATTGGGACCCGTAGCTCAAAGACTTATTCAGGTTAAAACTACTACCAAAACCCAACAAACACCACCATCGTTGCTTCCCCCAATCCTTACCGTACACAAAAACCAAACCACATACCCAGTCCTGATTTATAAAACTTTGTGGACGTACAGACCGACTGACTCGAGTTACAACTACGGAAAACAGGGGGCATGTGTATATTACGTTGTTTCTTACGTATACACACTTAACAACAAAAGATACAACACATTTTGGTATTAGGTCTGGGAAAAAAGCTCTTAATTTTTCTTTCACGCAGACTCACTGTTGAGTTATCTAAATGAAAGATTGGTGAAGTACCTCTGATTCATTCCCCTCCCCACTTCTCCATCTTTTAAAAGCAATAGAGCGAGAACACAGGAGAACTTTATTCTGACTCTCTCAACTTTCTGTGCTGTTTCTTTCCTTTAGCAGCCGATCTAGAAGACCAAGACAGTCGCTTTAGAATCCTAATTCTACTTAAAAGCAAGACATAGTTTAGGAAGGCGAAATCTGCTTTTGCTGGACAAGCGGGACATCGCTGCGGCCGTGAAAGCCAATGGGAAATTTCCTATTTGCTGTTGCCCGACTGTCGATGAGAATCCGGCCCAGACTCAGGAGCTGGGCTGGCAGCTTGTGCGTGTGTGTGGGGAATATATCTAAATCCAAAACGGCTGTTAATCGACCTCAGAAATTTTTAACGCCCTCAAACTGCCCTGTGTTCCTCAGAGCGAGACACATCACATTCACGATGCGAATCGGTGTGACTGGCTTATTTATTTATGCTTTGTATGTGTGTGTGAGCACGGCTGTACCTGTAAACCGCACCTTTGCTCCACAATTGAACTAAGGCTTTACGACTTTGCATAGACTTATGTAAATATTTACCCATATATTAACTCCCCCTCTACAGTATGACTATATATAGGGGGGAATCGCCCCCTCTTCTGCCATGCACGTGCTCTGAGGGCGACGCACATCTTACAGGGGGACTGGGGGAAAAGAACCCCCCTGTTTCTTTAGCTCAGCAGGCAGCAGAGCGCAGGCCCTTCAAGTGTTGACCAAAGCACCCTCAGTCCTCAACCAAACCTGCCACAAGAACTGAAGGGAAAGTATTTACGACAGAGAAAAGTGACAGCGGAGAGCACCCTGCCTCCAAGCACAACACTCCATGCCATTTACTTTTTTTTTTGTTTGTTTTAAATAAAAGTGACAAGAGACACCTGGATCGGAATGGAAACAGAGACAAATAGATATTCCCACCTACCTTCTGGAAAAACCACCCTCATTTTTAAGTAGCTGGTGGTGAGCCTGATTATAGATGCTTTGTCCAGCTGAGAGGTGATAGCGGAGGGCAGGGGTAGTAACTTAGCCAGTTCATAAAATTCACTGTTTTCTTTCTCCCGTCTAGTCCGGGCAGCATTTTTTGACTTCTCTTTCATCGTGGTTTTTTCCCCCCTTCCTTCCTACAATTTAAGCTCCTGAGATTCATCCAAAGGTGGAAGGGAAACTCAGCTGCAATTCATCTCTTCGGAGCATCAGGTTCTGAGCGCGGCCATTGCTCTGGGAAACTGCTTGGTTGCGTAAAATGCAAACAAGTATTGAAGACCAGAGAGGTGTTCTTAAAACGAAAAAAATACAATATTCTCTGGAAAGCAGAGTCAATCGGATAAGAAAGGTATTTATCCAATGCAGTTCAGAGACTCCAAGCAACTGCAGGGGAAAAAAAAGCTAGAAGCTTGAGGCACCAGGCAGTAACCAAACGAGGTTTTTCTGGCCCTTTTTCCTACTCATGGCAGGCAGCATAGCTCCTCGGAAGAGACTCATCATAATCCCATTTCTTCCCGTGGTCCGCTGTCAATCCGAGGCCCGAAACGGCGGGCCGGGGGCAGCCTCCCGGGAGCCTCTGTGAAGACAACAGCAGTCCTGGGGTGAGAGAGCCGGCGCGCAACGCCTCAGCGGGACCGCGAGAAATAATCAAGAACGGGCCTCCGGCGGGTGTAGTATTTTCTCCCACCAGAGGGGAAAGAAAAGAAAAAGAAGAAGAAGAAAAAAAAGGGGATATTTTCCTGCCACCCAGCGCGCCCGCGGAGGAGCCTGTCCCGTGCTCCCCTCCCACAGCCTTCTCACTCCCTGGCCCAGGTGTGCACTTCGTGGCCAGAAGGAAGTCACGGCAGAAAACAGCCCCCAGCTCACAGTTACCGGCCGGTTTCGGTGCTGGCGGGGCCGCGCCAGCCCCTCCGCTCTCCTCCGGGCTGGCACCACTGCCGCGGCCAAATCTCCCCTGCTGCCATTCCCCACGTATTTTTCCCTTCTTTTTTGTTTTCTCCTTTTTTTTCTGTCTTAAATTTTCGCCTCGTCTCGGTTGCCCTCCTCATGTCCCGGGTTGGGGGGGAGGGTGTCTTACCCCAGCTGCACCCCAGCCAGGGGACACACGTTCTGCCGAGCCCCGTCCAGAGCCGGAATCCACCCGAACATCACATTTTCCCAACCAAATCATGATTTTTTTTTTTTTTCCTTCTTTTTGCACCGGGGGATAGCGACCCCCAGCCCAGACCCACACGTCTCTGCGGCTCCTTGCCGAAGCTGACGGCTTGTGGTGGGCTGGCTGTGATCTTCTTTGTACCTACCTTGAATCCCTGAGCCCGGCAGCCTGCAGAGAGCTCTCCCAGGGTGAGGAGCCCAACTCTTTAATTGGCTCATTAATGGCACGGGGAAAAAAGTTTGCGCCTGTCACTGCTCCTCACACCGATGGGCAGACAGACATTGCCGCCTCCCCAGCCCCTTTATCGTCTCCCATGCTATCCCTCTCACATAACGGGGGGGGGGGGGGGGGGGGGTGGATAGGGTGGAGTGGGGTGGGGGGGCGAGGTTGGTATTAATGAAGAATCCCTAATTTGCGGCTGAGAAATGCCTAATAACTTCTTGATGGCTAAAAGCCTTTTAACACAACTTCAATTCTCTCCCAGCCCCCCCCTCACCCCCCCCCCCATCCCGGGTCGGGCCCACTCACGGACCCACCTCGCTTCCCATTGGCGAACACCACCCCGCGCCCGCCCTCCTACTGGTGGAGGGGGCTATGACGTAACCGAGTCCCGGGCACACCTCCCCCTCTCTCTCCGCGTCCGCCCTCTGACCTGGCGGCTCCGCGGGAAGGGGGAACGGTGGGCTCAGCGCGGGGACGCGCACGGAGGGACCCTCCACCCGTGCTGCGTACACCACCTCCGCCCCCCCCCCTTCCCCCGCTCTATTGGGGTTTAGGGGTTTTCGGGTGTTAGGTGGGGGGGGAGGCGGGGTTGGCTATGGTGATCCGGGAGCCGCTCCGTTCTCCCCTCTGGGCACCGGAGAGGAGCGGCCAAGGTTCGTCGAGACTGTGGGTTGTGAGGATGGGCAATTCCCCACCCCAAAATCTTGTTTGGGAGAAATAAGGTGCAGCCAGATTCCCTGTATGTCTCCCCTCCCACCACCTTTTAACGGGGTACGGTTCATTGTATGGCACAAAGTGAACCGACTGGTGGCGGAGCAGGAGGAGGAGGATTGAGAAAGGTTTGTCTTGACAAACGCTGGAAAAACAAAAACATTAATAAATTATCCCGCAAACAGACCAAAGAAAGAGCTAAAAACCCCCACTCAACCCTCAGGAGATACAGGCACTTTAAAACTGTCCTCAAAGTGGATGTGGAGCGAGGGGATTTCTTTCTTTCCCAGGGAGCAGGACTATCCTTCATCTCTCTAGTCCCTGGAAAAGAAGAATCCCCAAACCCACAAAAAAAAATCCATACGCGGCTCCTAAAACTGCTGGGTCTAAGAAGAGTAGATAGAGCAGAAAGTGAGCGCCTAGGGCAGGGAGAGGAGAAGAAGGGCTGAGAGACTTTCCTAAAACCATAAGGGACGCTCTAAAGCCTGAACTAATTGCCAAACCAGCCGATGCGAGATTTCGGCTAAAACAATTTAAAATGACATTGCATTGGCAAGGCAACCGTTGGAATATTTCGAGGAAGAAGAAACGGTCTCGGTTTTCGAAAGATCAAAAACGTCAACAAACCCCCCAGCCTTTGAAGCACCCCCCATCCTTCTCACCCCACGGAGGGGCTGCAGCTCCAGGCTTCAAGTGCCGACCGCCTGTTCGCTGCTTATCACCTTAAATCTCCCTTCGGTTAAAAGCTTTCCCTGTGTTCATTTGGGTAAATAGAGGGAGGACGGGAGGAGAAGCATTCAACAACTCCTCTGGGTGTCCGGGCGTTTGTCTATAAGCAGCCGAGAAATGTATCCACGTCGTCTCTCATGTTCATTTGATTGTCTTGTTTACCGAAGCGACCCGTTGTTACACAAACACGCACGCAAGTCACTTAGTGAAGGTATGGATTTAAAAGAAAAAGAAAGAAAATAAAGGAAAATAAAACCCTCCCAACCCCAGTCATGTTGCGAGGCTGCTATGGGGAAAGTGCTACTCAATATTCCAAAATCTATTCTGGGCATTGCTCCAATCAGGTGTAAAGCGGGTTTTGGGGGAGAAGAAAAAACTCCATCTTTCTTCTGGTTTTCATTTGAAGTAATCCTCTCGCTAAAAGGCACTGACGTCTCTTGGAGGGTATTTAGACATATGGGCAACAACTGGACTAACATTGTCAGGTAGCTCACGAGTTATTTGCCAACATGAGCCGCAGAGAATGTCCTTTATAACACCCTTGGTTTGGGAAAAAAAATAAATAAACCAGTAGGATGCACTTCTGCTAATTTATACCAGGGACCATGAGCATCCACCTTACCTGGCCCTTGCGGCCCCAGCGAGGAGAGCAGCTCACCGAGAAGCCGCTTTCCCAGGACGTGATATCTTCCCCACAGCACAGCCCGGTGGGTGTCAGCGGCCGCCCCGGGTTCCCCCGTGGCCGGAGCCCTGTGACTGGAGCTCCGGTGTGGATTTTTAATGTACAGATGCTAGGGCAGGTACAGTACACGATGTATGCGAAAGAAAAAAGTTCAACTTTCGAGGGTACACTGCCGCGTTGGAGAGCTAAAGGCGCGGGGCAGCGCTGGCGACGCTTCTCAGCAGCCTGCGAGAGGCAGATCCCGAAGAAAGAGAGAATTTGGCCGTTTCAGAGGCGTTAGATTTGGTTTCTTTCGTCAAAACACGCGACATCTGACAGCGAAGATGAGAGCTAGCACTGGCCTGTTCTAGCTACGCAGAGCAAGGCAGCCCACAGAAGACAAACTGCTGGTCTTCGTAGAGTCCAACAGCCCCATGTCACCCGCGGCGGGCTCCGCGGGGCGCCCGGTGGAGCCCGTCGGTCCTAGAGGGAAGGACAGGATGCCGCTCTATAAAGTGGATGCACCACCGTGCATCGGATGACCGTACCGCGGTTACTCCAAGGAGTAACCCCGCCGTCGGAGCGGACACCTGCGGGCTGGGGGTCCAGCCCCGGGGGACACCGGGGGAGCACCGCGGCTCCCCGCACCCTGTGTGTCCCTGTCGTCGTCACCCCGAGAAGCAGGGACCGGAGCTGCCGAGCGGGGGGCAGCGGTGTCCTGCTGGTGCCCCGCTGTCGGCAAGTGGAGCCGGACACCACGGGAGAGTGGGGGGCGGGGGGGGGAGGCGAGAGAGACCCTCTGGCCACCTGAAGCGCAGGGATCGCTGCGCTCAGTCCAGGTGCATTCATTCTCGGGCAAGAATACTCTGGAAAAGAGATAATATTAGTAAACTGAGCAGGTAAGCAGCACTATGTGACTTAAACAGACGCATACTAAACCGGGATATCTCAAGAAAGGCTGCGTGAGAACAAAGCGTTTCAGGCAGGTTTCCAACGAGACGTATAGAAAACTTGGTTTAGCCAGGCACAATATGCAGACTATATTGAGGTTTGCGTGAATGTGTGAGTGTGTGCGGGGAGGGTGTGGGCGCGGGGGGGGGGGGGGGGGGGTAGAGGAGGGAGCTGTACAAATCAAAGCAGAGGAAAAAAAAAACCACAAAACCACCCTGCTGGGTCATTTCCCTATAGGACAAGTCTGATCCAGCTTCTGCTCCTGCACATTCTGGCGTACTCTGATATATTTATGAATTTGGGTGCGTCTACTAACTCCCGCTCCCACCCCTCCAAAAAAAGAAAAAAAAAAAAAGTGACAATTTCTTATGTAGAGAGAAAAATTCTGTCACGCAGAACCCATCGTTCATACACCGCTTTCTTCATAGTGCTTGCAAAAGGTGAGTATAATCGAACTAACCGTGCGGGTCGCTCTCACGATTATTTACAACAAGTCCCCATCGGCCTGATGTTCGCCACAGCCAGATGTTGACAAGCCAATCCTCACCCCTCTCACTCCGTAGCGACGAGAAGGCGTCGGGGCCTCTGCCGGACACGCACTGCCTGGGGGGGAGTCCCGGTGTGACTGCGCCACCGTTACCGGCCCTGCCCGGCCCCGGGGTGCTGCATCTACCCGTGTCCGGTAACTTGAGAGCCAGGGGACACTCGGGTATCTTGGTGCATCGGCGTGCCAGGGAATTTTCACCCGTGCCCTCATAAAGGCTTTATTGACAGAAACACACACACGGCAAACGCCCTTAGAGACCATTCAGAAGCAATTAATAGGTTTTAACTGATGTAAATCTTAACCCCCAAGATTCGAGCCGTGCTCTAGGTGCTTTATTCCTGCTCTTTCGCTAATATCATTAGGATGTTCAGGGGAGCAGGGCACCGAGAAAGCCGGTTCTCTGACAAAACGCAGGAAACACTTCGTAGACCCTCGCTTGGATAGCAGCCCTCTGACAGGCGGATCCGAACGCATCTCTTACAAATAATTATAGCAACACTGCAAAAGTATAGTACTCCACTACTAGCACGATTCTAAGCTATTTTCGGTGACTCAAACAGTTTTTGGCGACATATCTATGGTTTTTTAAGCAATGCTTCGGGGTGAGGGTGGGGGGAGGGGCACCTCTCTTGACCACACACACCTTTACAGTTTTATTGGTTTTGGCATGAATGTAACGAGATGATTTATATTCTTTTTTTTTTTTTTTTTCCAGTGGAGTCAAAGGTCAGTATCTTTTAGCCCTTACCTTATTGAATACACTCTCGCTAATGATCGGAAGTCAAGCTATTTTACGTGGAGCAGCGAATGAAAACATGAACTATAAAGAAACGTTTTTTCTAAAACTCTGCTTTGTGACCAGTAACAATTATCCCCAGACACATCGTTTTTGCTTTCTGCATTTCCAAAGGAGCCTGGTATGCTGAACGTCCGAAATGAGCTGAAACGTCCTTGGTAAAGGAAGGAAACTGGACTGGAAACGAACTCTGAAGAAATTACAGACTTTAAGAAGTTGTTTCCTGCCCTCCCTGTGTTCTCAGACACCTCGCTTAGCTGCTGTACTCCTTCCTGCTGCACCGACGTTCATTCTTTCCCTCCTGCCGTCGCACGCTGAAAGCGGCCCGGGCGGTGTCGGTGCTTCGCTCTTTCCGCACCTCACCTACAGGGGCTTCCCCTTACGCCACAGCCTGCCAGGCGCGGGGAGGCGCCTCCGAGACCGCCGGGGCGCCCTCGGTACCCCCGGCGGGGCCTATCGGCGCCCTCCCCACGTCGCGCGAAACCACCCCCAGGGGTACGAGCTCCCCCGATTTCGGCCGCGAGTGGCACCTCTGCCTTGCAGGTAGCCGCGGCGCTGCTTCTCTCCCTCCCCCTTGGCGCATAGACGGGGGCCGCTAACGCCCCGCCAAGGCCCCGGCGCACTTCAGGGGAAGCTTCTCAGCCGCCGAGGGCTTTGTTCGGCTGCAGTGTTTCCGCCAGGCTCTCTGGTGACTCGGCAGCGGCCCGCAGCGAGCAGCGCAGCCCCACGCCCCCTCCCGGCTCGGCTCGGCCCGGCCCTGCCTGCCACGCACCCGACGCCAACGGCCGCTGGATCCACAGCGGTACATGCGCCACGACGACCCCCGACACGAGCACGCCTGTGCGTGCCAACGCGCCCCACTCCGTCTCCGCAGCGCCCCGCACGGACGGACGCGGGCGGGCGGG